TGACCCCTGAGTGACCCTGAGTGACCCTGAGTGACCCTGAGTGACCCCTGAGTGACCCTGAGTGACCCCTGAGTGACCCTGAGTGACCCTGAGTGACCCTGAGTGACCCCACTGACCCCTGAGTGACCCCAATGACCCCGAGTGACCCCGAGTGACCCCGGCGGTTTCCGGAAGGTTCCGGCGGGTTCCCGGTGTACAGGTCGGTGCCGCTGGGTCCCCCGGAGGTGACGGTGCCGTACCTGGCGCGGCGAGCGGCCGAGAACCGCGGCGCGCTGGGCGGGGCCCGGCGTGAGCGACAGCTGCTGTGGGCGGAGCTTTGGCGCAGGCTCCGCCCCTGGGCGTGACCGGGACCCCCCAAAATCCCCAAAAATTCCACCGGAAACTGAGACCAAAATCCCCTGTGGGCGGGGCTTAGGTGGAGGCTCCGCCCCTGGGCGTGGCCAGGAGTCCCAAAATTCCCCAAAATTCCCCAAAAAATTTCCCCAAAATTCCCCCAAAATTCCCCAAAAATTCCCCCAAAATTCCGCAAAAATTCCCCAAAAATTCCCCCAAAATTCCCCAAAATTCCCCAAAAAATTCCCCCCAAATTCCCCCAAAATTCCCAAAAATTCCCAAAAATATTCCCCCAAAATTCCCCAAAATTCCTCAAAAATTCCCCCCAAATTCCCCAAAATTCCCAAAAAATTCCCCCAAAATTCCCCAAAATTCCCCCCAAATTCCCCCAAAATTCCCCAAAAATTCCCGAAAATTCCTCCAAAATTCCCCAAAATTTCCCCAAAAATTCCCCCAAAATTCCCCCAAAATTCCCCAAAATTCCCCAAAAAATTCCCCCAAAATTCCCCCGAAACTCCCCAAAAAATTCCCCCCAAATTCCAAAAAAATTCCCCAAAATTCCCCAAAATTCCCCAAAAATTCCCCAAAATTTCCCCCCAAATTCAAAAAAAATTCCCTTGAAATTTCCCAAAATTCCTCAAAAATTCCCCAAAAATTCCCCCAAAATTCCCCCCAAAATTCCCCCCAAAACCAAAAAAATTCCCTCAAAATTTCCCAAAATTCCTCAAAAATTCCCCAAAAATTCCCCCAAAATTCCCCAAAAATTCCCAAAAATTCCTCAAAAATTCCCTCAGAATTCCCCCAAATTATCAAAATTCCCCCAAATTATCAAAATTCCCCCTAAAATCCCAAAATTTCCATCCAAAAATACAAAAATTCTCCCATTTAGAAGCCCCCTAAAACCCCCAAAATTGGGACAGGGACCTGAAGGTGCCCAAAATTCCTAAAAATTCCCAAAATTCCAGCAATAAATCCCCCCTTCCCCCCAGCGCGTCCCCGCTGCTGATTTTGAGGGAAAAGTTGGGATTTTGGGGGAAAAAAGGGGAAAATTTTGGGGAGAATTGGGATTTTCGAGGGGAAAAATGTGGATTTTGGGGATGAAAAGAATGAATTTTTTGGGGAAAAACTGATTTTTTTTGGGGGGGGAAAGTTTGGATTTTGGGAGAGAAAAACCCAAATTTGGGCGGGAAAAGGGGAATTTTGGGGGACAAAAATGCGAATTTAGGAGGGAAAAATAAAGATTTGAGGGGAGGAAAACGGATTTTGTTGGGAAGATGCGGATTTTGGGGGGAAAAATGCGGATTTTGGGGCAGAAAATGCGGATTTTGAGGGAGAAAATGCGGATTTTGAGGCAGAAAATGCGGATTTTGGGGGGAAAATGCGGATTTTGAGGGAGAAAATGCGGATTTTGGGGGGAAATGCGGATTTTGGGGCAGAAAATGCGGATTTTGAGGGAGAAAATGCGGATTTTGAGGCAGAAAATGCGGATTTTGAGGGAGAAAATGCGGATTTTGAGGCAGAAAATGCGGATTTTGAGGGAGAAAATGCGGATTTTGAGGCAGAAAATGCGGATTTTGGGGGGGAAAAGCCGATTTTTGGCTCACAAAGACTTTTTCTGGCGGCGTTTTGGGGACAAAGGGGGAATTTTTGGCACTAAAATCCTTTCCTGGGGATCCCGGTGAGGATTTTTGGGAATCCCGGGTGGGATTTGAGAGAATTTTGGGGGGAATTTGGAGCGATTTTGGCGCCGTTTGGGGGGGGCCGGGGTCGCTCAAAATGGCGGCGGCTCCTGAGGGGAGGGGAAAAAAGGCGGGAAAACGCCGGGAGGGGCGGGGTCGCGCAGGGGCGTGGCATCAAGAGGGCGTGGCGCCATTAGCTCATTAATAATCAATTAATAAACAAGGCGTGGCTTCCCTGATGAGGGGGCGTGGCCTCTTTGCAGCTGCCCAATCATCGCACGACCCTCGCGGTTGCCATGACAACGCTCTCCGAACATGGCGCCGCCGCCCCGCTCGCTGCCGATTGGTCCCTCCCGCCCTCGTGGGCGTGGCTCGACCAATCAGAGCGCTTTTTTCCCGGGGAGGGGGCGTGGCCGCCTCCATTTTGTGGCGCGCGGGAGCGGCGGGAGGGCGGGAAAAGCGCGGTGGGCGTGGCCTCTCCTGAGGGAGCGGGGCGGCAGGGAGGGGCGCGGCCGAGTTCGCCCCGCCCAATCAGCGCCCG